CCCATGTGACCTGCGCGTGCGGTTGGGAGGGGGAGAAAGGAGGCGGTGGCTTGCGCGCCTCGTTCGAATCCAGACTGCTCAACGGAATGAGCGCGTGCGCGCCGGCGAAGACGTCACCTCCCTTTTCCCTCGAGAGCCAGTCTCTGGCTTCCTCTCCGTACGCGGGCGAGCACGTACGGAAGCTTGCGGGCGCTGTTGTGTATCTGGGACACACGGACACGTGCGCGTCGCTTCCGCCATGTTGTTTCTCAGAGGAGGGAAGAGGAGGAGAGGAAGGGGGGGGAAGGCTGAAGCGGCAGTTCTCGCGAGGTCAGCCCTCGTTCCCGTGGGAGCTGGCCAGAGGCAGGATGGCGGCGCTGCGCTGAGAGTGATGGGTAATAAGGGTAACGGGCAACCGGGAAGGAGGGAGGGAGTGAGGCGAGGGGGGCGGCGCGGTGATTTCCTTTAAGGCCAGCCTCTCAGCCCGCCGACGCGTGAGGGGCGGGGCTCAGCCTCGCGGAGAAGGGGAACCTGCCAAGAGTTGGCGCGCGTCAGGAGTCGGGGCTCTCCCCTCCCCCCTGCCCCGCACGCCTTCCCCGCGGTCGGAGCCCTGCCCTGTGGAGGCTCTGCGGCGCCTCCTCCGCCTCATCCCCCCACCGCAGCTTCCCACAGGGTCGTGTGGCGCCCCCTGTCGCCTTTTGGGTGGCATTGCCCTTGGATTCCTGGACTCGCCCAATAAGCTCCCCATTTTTTTCAACCCGTTCCCACCGCACTCTGGTCCCTCAGCACCCACCTGGGCTGCAAAATCTTTAGCGAGGAGGACGGTAGCCTTTTGGGCCGTTGCTGTTTAGTTGCTGCTCTTTGCCTTGGGAGAAGATTTTGGCCTGTAAAGAAACACTTTAGGATATCAGCAAAGCAAATCTTTCCCAACTGTAGGTTGCAGCCCTAATGCAATTCCTGTGCTGGCTGGCAAAACTGTTATTACCTATTATGAGAGTTTCTCAAACTTTTTGGTATCTAAGGAGATCTAGGAGAAGATGAAGCAAGCACAGCAGCTAAATTCTTTAGTTCTACCTACCAGTATGGTTGACAAAATCTGAAAATGTGTTTTGCACCACAAGCTGTCCATTGCTGAGGGGGTTCTTTCACACATGTAAGTGCTGTAGTACTACATGATACTGTATAGGCACTAGTCCTTTTGTAGGCTCTCTCTGCAGAACAAATAAGTAGGCATTTTTCTGGCAGAATACATAGCACAGTAGTTTTGGGAATCTTTTTATTTTTGGGTAATCATGGCATAGCGTAGCATAAATCTGGCCCAGTATTCTTTGTAAATTTGTTTGTGCTAGATTGTTAGAATCTCATTTTTTCCCCGTTTGCCATAATCACCTAGCATATTTTACTGTGATTTTGTTTAAGTCACATTGCATTGTTAGAGTTTCAATTTTGTATGATTTACTTTCAGAGTCCAGTTATCAGAGGAGAAATGCAAAGAAAATGTTGCTGCCATCACTTGTGTTTTACTAGCAGGAAGCCTGAAGTAATAAAAATTTTAATTGGTTCCAGAGGAGGGTTTGTTGGAGCAAAACTAACAATTTGGTTCCAATGCTAGAGTCTCATGTACTGTATTTGCCGGCGTATAAGATGCCCCCCCCCCCAACATTTTCACTCAAGATATAGAGTGGACAGCTCTGCTGCGGCGCCGCCGACAGCTGCCCGGAACTCTTCCTGGGCCCGCCCTGGAAATTTATGGGCGACAAGGCCTATATAGAGTGGACAGCTCTGCTGCGGCGGTGGCGGCACCTGCCTGGAGCTCTGCCTGGGCCTGCCCTGGATGTTTATGGACAACAAGGCCCGAGGAGGAGGGGAAGTGGCTCTCTGGCGGCAGGCGGGCAAAAGAGTATCTGGCTCAGCGGCGAGGAGGAGGGGAAGCGCCGGGGGGACAGCAGCGGAGGAGGAGGGGAAGCGACTCTCCGGCGGTGGGCTCTGGCCGCTCAGGCATGGCCGGCTCTGCTTCCCTCCATCCAGACCGACTGCCTGCCCGCCCGCCTGCTTTTCTCCCCGACTGGTGTGGCTCTCTGGCGGCAGGCGGGCAAAAGAGTATCTGGCTCAGCGGCGAGGAGGAGGGGAAGCGCCGGGGGGACAGCAGCGGAGGAGGAGGGGAAGCGACTCTCCGGCGGTGGGCTCTGGCCGCTCAGGCATGGCCGGCTCTGCTTCCCTCCATCCAGACCGACTGCCTGCCCGCCCGCCTGCTTTTCTCCCCGACTGGTGTGGCCCCGCGCTCCGTCCGGACCGACTGCCTGCCTGCCTTTCTCCCCGACTGGTGTCCTCCATCGTCACTCACTCAATGGTGGCGGCTCTTTCCCGGCCCAACTGAAGTGCACCCGGCGTATAAGATGACCCCCCGCCTCATTTGGAGGCATGTTTTTTGGGCCAAAAAAAAAAGTCCGGCAAATACGGTACTTTTAACAAATGACAAATTATTAGGCATGTTAGTAGTAAATGAGGTCTTTCAAGGACTGAATCTCTAACAGGAAAGTGGTTGAACTTGCAGATTATAGTCCTTCTACAGGATATTCCTTGGAAGATTATAGATTTAAAGTACAGTCATATACACATCTACTTAGATAAGTAAGTCTTTTGAGTTTTAGTATTTCCCACTTCTTAGTAACATGATGCCCATCATCTTTTTACTGTTCCTGCTTATAATTCTAGCAGGCCTGGCTATGGTAGACCTTGAGGAAGTAGTCTGGAAGTGTTGCACATGTTAGCGATGCAGTCGTTAAAAAGAGAACAATTGCATGTTAAAACAAAATTGAATTCCAGTGGGGATATACAGTTCTGAAACCTAGCAGACTTCCGTTAGTAGGTATCATGCAAAGTTCTTGTGTGTAAATAACTGTACAGCTTGATCCAAAGCACTATAGAGTTCTAGAATCTGTGCATGGCTTAAAGGAGAATTAAAAGTTGAACAAGATATTACATCTCTACTACTTCTCCACTCCAAAGTTTCCTTTTTTCTATTCTACTTTTCATTGGAAAACCAGATTTCAAAGATTCATTTAAGTATTACAAGCAAATCTGTCTAGTAGAAATCTCCTTTTGAAAAAAACAAACTCTTTAGTCTGAAAATAGATTGGTTTGTGTGTTAGGCTGCAGATCCCATTAGAGACTTGTTTTGGTTTGTATGTATTTCTCCACTTTAGAACATAACTAGTTTGTAGTTCTGTTCTTGCAGCTTTCATGGAAAAAACACTGTTTTCTAATACAGTGTTAAGGCTTTTTATTGCATGTTGTGCATAATTATAGTTGGATAACATTTCAGTAATTTAGTGTTTGTGAAATAAAATGTTTTGTTATCTAATGAAGTGTTTTTAAAGCAGTGTGTTAAGTATAACATTCCCACAGCATTGTTGTGATGTTACAGTGTATGATGATGTGCTGAGAAAGCAGTTGCTGTGCTCCATCCTAAGTAGTTATTTGCTGGTGCCACAAGTTCTAGGATTGGTCTGCTCCTGCTCCCCCCCAATGCCTTTTTCCAGCTTGATCCCTGTGCATATTTACTCATGTCTCAGTCTATCTTGGAGTGCAAGTATCATAGTGAAGGCGTACCATTTTTAAAAATCCTGCATATGGAAAAGTGAAGAGTAACATTTCTCTTCAGAAAACTGGAATAAGACATGTAAGAGGGCTATATGTGTATAAGTAACTCACAACCACTCTGGCAGGAAGAAACATACTTAACATCTACTTAGACTTCTGTTAGAGCTCTGTTTTGATCAGAAGCGAATTACTTGTTAAGTTTTCCTTGAGCAAGCTAGCTGTGTTGGTAATTATGACTATATAGTTGTCTGTTCTATTTAACCAAATGTAACCCTTATGAAATGACCACACCAGTGAATCTTTATGCTTCTCAGTTTCTCTAATCAAGTTTTGTTTGATGTAGCTTGTTACGAGATCTTGGGCACCAATATAGTGGGCAAAAAGACTTCAGCAGCAATAGACTGAAAAAATAGGATATTCTTTTGTTTTAGCATAATGAAACCACAGCTTGGAACAGTCATGTTATATATGTTGAGACATAGCTAGAATGCACAGATTTGCAGAGGGAAGTATCAGTGCCAGATCCTTGCATCTTTCCTGTTTCCAGCAGGTGCAATACATGAGCAGGAGTAGTATTCCACTGTTTTGATTGGTCACTGGTATGCTGCCATCATGCACTTACAATTCATGTAGGAACATCATTTCCAATCTGATTCTATAATTTGGCTTCTCAGATTAGATTTTTAGGATAGCACACTACAAGAAATTGATATTTTTCACCATATAAGGGAGGACCGCATCTAGATGTATTGTCTTATTTTGTCTCACTTGGTACAGTAGGTGTATTGTCTCTTATCTCATTTTGTACTGAGGTGATGATGGAAAAAGGGACAGAAACTTTATGAAGATATTGGTAAAGGATGTTTTCATCTATGAATATGTAGGAATGGAATTTCTCTTGCAGGGTGCATGTATTAAATTTTATCTCTTTTATGTCATCTCATGATTATACACATAATCTCTTGCAGGGTGCATGTATTAAATTTTATTTCTTTTATGTAATCTCATGATTATACACATAATATATATCCTGTGTCATTGAAAGATATGTTCTCACATTTGCTAATAAAGTCAGACAAAAAAAAATAAAACATGCATATGAGCAAAATTATCTAAAAACAGCAGCCCATTAAATAGACAGGAAACAAAATTGAACTAAGTTTTTTTTAAAAAAACAATTAATCATTTTTAGTAATTAATCATACTTTAAAACAGGAAAAGAAACCATTGTTTTTGGTACTTAGATGATAACAAGGGCTCTAGATAAGACATAAGGAAGACATTCCATATGAAAATCCTCATACAACAACCTTAGCAGATGACTAGTTTTCAAAGTGATAGCCATGTTAGTCTATGCAAGCGCATCAGACATGAAGCAAAGAAAAGATAAAAGCATTGTGGCACCTTAAAGACTACATGCTGTGTTTTATTGTAGGTGAGTAGTTGCTGTACTGGATCTTACATATGTTGGGTTTTAAATGTAATATCAGCACTTTGATTTCATCTCAGAAACTTAGCAAGAGTCAGCAGAGTTGTCCTGATACATGTAAGATATGATCTATTTATCAGGTGCTTAGCGGTCTAGCCACATTTTTATGGGAAGAAAGTATGTACTTTCTGGGCAAATTTCAGTGCCAGCTTCATGTCAAGTTAATAAAAGCAGTCCATACTAAAAATTATTGGTGTGGTGTGAACTGCAGTTAAACTAGACCATTTTTGACTTTACAAGATATCCTCGTCCTCTGTCATACTCTCGACTGTGTTGAGGAATGGGAGACCTACATAAAAATTC